AATGGCTTCACTTTTGCTGTTACTGTTATTTGAAGATGTAAATAATGTAACTTAGCAATCAAATTAACTAGTCTCAAAGCACCGTTTACCTGAATGGGCTCTAAAGGAAGCTAATTGTTTCTACCAAAAGTGGGAGGGTTTAGTAAGGGAGCTAGCAGAATCAGGTATGCCAAATTTTTTTCATAATTGATGAGTCAGAGAGTTCTACTTCATCCTGAACAAAAGGGCAGGATACCATATTTGCCTCCTGACTGAGGATCTATCAAATATTAAGCTGATGCTGTACTTGATCTGAGCCAAAAGAATAAAGCATGCTCTTCTTTCATATTATAAAATATGTATATACTCATTTATCTTGAACTGAGAACAGTTAGGAACTTATTTTATGAACTAATATGATTATATTGCATGGGAACTTCATGTCTCCTGAAGGGTTCATTTAGTTTTCACCTCAGTACATCCAAAGCATGTACACATACCATTATGACTATGTACTCCAGGCTCTCCCAGGTGTTATTTCTTATATGTCAGCACTGTCGTGACCTGTGTTAATTTTAAAGTGTGCAGAGCTTGCTAAATCTTCCTCTTCAAAAATACTTTATGACTTGTCTATTGGACTGAGCACAGGGCAGAAATCCAGAAAAAGAGTCCTGATTTCTTTTCACCAACAAGCTCAGGCAAGTCACTTTGAGCTAAGTCAGTTCCTTTGACTGCCCCAAATAATACAAATTGTATGGTATGCTTCTCTCAGCAGAGGCATAGATGCTGAAGTGTGATGCAGTCTAAATCAACTCCATGCTAGAAACACTGCTTGGAAGCATACTTCATACTCATTCCTGCTCTGTGTCTCTGAAATGAGACAGTACAGCTACCTTATAGTGGCCCTGAATGTGCCACAGACAGACCAAACACTTTTGGACTCTCTTCTCTAGTCGCTAAGTATAAAAATAATCCCTGAAGAGTCTAAGAACAAGATGATGACATGCTTATCTCTTTGCCATGACTTAATAGTAATGGGCAGAACATATTTCTTAGCAGTGCTTCCAGGATCATCACTGAGGTGGTGTAGATATCTGTCTTGTTCAGTCCCTACTCAATCCATCCCAGCCATATAGTTGACACATACTTATTTCCCTCTCTGCATTGTATCAGTAGACTAGCTTGTGCTTTTCAAGGGGCAGAACTAAGGACACAGACAGAAGTGACAATTTGAAAGTAGCCTACAGAAGCCATGACCAAACAGAAGTGCATGGCTGCAGACTGCTTTAAAAGAGCCCAACCCCATGAAAATCTGAATCCCCATTATATGAGGGTTCAGACAAGCATGCTCCAAAACAGATCACCTTCCATAACTTGTGTCTGCAGTGCTCCCAGCCCCACAGCTGCTTTCAGAGTAAGTGGGGGGAAGGGAACAGAGGGAGTTTGGTGTGGGGTTTCTTCAGCTAGTGCTGGAGGGTGGGGTGGGTGGATTGGAGATAGCCCACCTCAGGGTGGGGTGCTCCAATCCACCCATCCCACCCTTTAGCATCAGCTGGAGACCGCAAGAATGAGCTCCCTTCCCCCCCTCTCATTGTGAAAACAGCATCTGAGCTGGGAGGGGGGGAATGGTGTTGGTATGGAGACTGAGGCTGCAGGCTTGAAGCAAGCAGCTGGAATCCCCAACTCCCAGACACAACACCAAACTCATGCTGGGTCCAGGGGATGGCTGCAACTCATAGCACTCCCTGCAAAGTGTTATAAGTTGCAACAAGGAGCTGCTTTTCTGTGTGCTAAGGGTCTGTTCCTTCATCTACCACCTTGATGGGAGCACACTGATGGCAGGAGCTCTCTTGCTCCTGTTGCAAACTATGATACCCATAGATCACACCAGAATCAAGGCAGGCTTGTTCCCCATTCAGCTCCTAATTTTTGACTGACAATAAAATTATATTTTTTAAGCTCACAGGTGCATTGGGAGGATACAGCAGTTAATATTTGTACTGAGGTATGGGATAATATTAAATAATAGATATTCATTAATAATACAATTTTAAAGTTTTGTTTCTAACGCCACAGCTACCTGTGGCTCGATTCATTGGATTTATCTCCTAAGCATTTGTTGAATTAGTAAACTAGACATTGTCGGTTTTCTAATGGCTTATGTGGACTTCCTACAAAGATATTTATTACTCAATATGTCATGGCTTATTTTTATCCAATTGGATTTGGTTGCCATGATCTTGCCAAGAAATTTTTAGTTAAGATAAAAGCAGGTAGTATATACAGAGGCTGGGGTTACAAATTATGGGCCAGGTTTTCTACTTTTCAGCTCCATTTTTAATGCCAGTTAATTTTCATGGTGTTACCATGATGTAAAACTATAGTAACAACCAGCTAAGCCATCTCCACATGTCTTATACAATTAACAACACATAAAAGGTCATTACCTGGAAGTGGACTATCATACAACTTTATCTAGATAGTGCCTCAAGGCCCCACAAAAATGGAGAATCTCTCCCTAATTAAAAAGCCAAAGGCAACATTTAAGCCAGTGGTTCACAAACTTTTAGAATCAAGCCCCCGAGAAAATGTCAGCTCTTAGTTTTCACTCATTTTTTACTATGGAAAAATAATAGAGTAATTCTTATATTGCATAAACGTAGAAAGGCCACAACAGGTCAGAATGTTTTTGAAACCATGGATTACTATTTGAAATCTCTTGGTTTAGCTTGTGAATCATGTAGGTGTTTGCACAATAAGAGTGCTAATATTGTGTGGCACACTGGGGCAACTTTAAGACACAACACCTCATGATGCTGCAGCACCCTGGTTGAGAATCACTGCATTAGGTCTCTCTTCCAATGATAATCTATGGAGCTCCAGATTCTCTGGTTACCACATGGTGCTTTCTAAAATTTGGATCTAATATACCTCATAGGGATGTTTTCTGACAATATGAACAATGTGTGACTGACGGTCTAATGGTATTCAAGACAAAAGGTATTCATCGAGAAATAAGAAGATTCATTCTCTTGTGGCCAGCAAGACCCTGTTTTATTTCTTCCCAGTCGATAATATGCTAGGTTGTCCCTAAACCACGAAACATTTTAACTGCTTTTAGTCTTAAAACAAATATTTTGCTGCAGTTTGGATTTGAAATTTCAGGCTCCATCACCTGCAGCAACAAGTGGAAAGATAAACCACCCTGAAACTATAGACTCGAATTAAAAATTGAGTATTCTACCATGGATTAAACTTTGAATCCATCTACCGAGTTAGATGTAAAAGTTAGCAACATAACCTTATTCCACACACAGACACACACACACACACACACACGCACGCGCGCGCGCGTAAAAAGTGGCTTCCACAGCCTCATTGACCTATCGGTTGAAGGTCAAACTTCAGTAGAACTGAAATCTATCATCTGAAGACTCTACTGTCACACATACACATTCTTGCAGCTCATCAACACCTGTAAATGTGATATATTTTATGCTTCTCTATCAGCAACCAACGGTAAAGAACTTCTCCTTTTAAATTAACACATACCAGAAACAGCAACAAAGGATTACCGTAAGTATATTTAATAAGCCTGGCACATTTGATATTAATTCTGAACTAGTTTGCATTAGGGATAGATCTACAACTGAAACGGTCATCAAACAATATAGACACATTCTGCTCTCATCCCTATGCTTACAACTTTCATTAAACATCTGCACGTATCTAAGGTCAAATAGAATCTGCAGGTAGCAACTACAAAAAAAAGCAGTTTCCACCAAATCTGAGCAAACTGGTCTCAGTGTTTGTGTTAGAGCTGTCAGGATGTACCACCTGTTTTACTGGTATTTGCTGCCAGGAACAAATTACGTAACCATCAACTACTGATCATACCCCCAAAAAAAAATCGCATCCATTGGACAGCCTTATTTTGATGATCCTTAAATAATGAAACATCCAGCAAAAGAAGGACAAGTCTTGACATTCTGCTAGTTTGCAGCCATTAGAAAACAGATTCATTGTCTAATAGTGCTTAATGTGAATCCTCTTACAACTAAATTAGAACTGAAAAATGAAAGATAAGCATGCAGCTTTAATACAGTGAAATACCACTGAAAGAAAGAAGGAAAGAAAGAAAGAAAGATCAGAAGGGTTTTTAAAAGCCTATTTTTTTAATGTCATTATTAAACTTGGATGAACAGTGGATTGATCCACAACAGAAAAAGATTGGCATGAAATTCCACTAAAAATTGAAAAAAAATATGGAATTCTAAACAGCTTTCTGTCACACAGTGGTTGATAAAATATTGTTATGTGTCTAAGATGTTATTTAAATATGAATGGTCAGGAAACATGAATATTTCATGGACTTCAATATTTTAGGATAAAAGTTTCTTGGTTTATATGATTACTTCTCATTCTTTTCAGCCTATCCATAAAGTACTTATTCAAGCACAACTCACTGGCTTCTTTGGGAGTTTTACCTGAAAAAGTATTTTGGGATCAGTACTGTTTTCTCTTAATCAACATTAAAACCTAGCAAACTTGTTCCCAACTATGCAACTGGTTCTGTGCAAACAGATCTCTTTGCTTCTACTGCACCCCTTTCAGGGCTGCAGAGCTGAGCTCTACCATTCTGAACACACGTGCATCTCCCATCAGCAAAATGTGCATTAAACTCAGTTTTTGTCTACCTGAAGATTTCGGGATTGAACCATTTATATTTTGTCCAGTCTCTTCATTTTAGTATCTAAAAGCTCCCCTTCTCTATCACTTTTAGTGTCACTGTCTAAGCGATGGTTGCTCAGGTTGCTATTTTTAGAGGCATGTAGTGATTTAGCTTCACTAACCAGTAGAGCCTCTGGCTACTGGGAGAAACATTTCTCATACAAAACACACATCCTACAGGAAAACTGCTGTTTCCTAAAAGCAATAAATCATACTGACATGCTGACTCAATTAAAGTGTCAAAGTACAAGTCTTTTTCTGTTAATTGTATTTGAAAATGGTTACCGTACCTTCTGTTGTAATCTCAGCCATAACTGCGATGGTAAGAGATACTCTGCAAAAAGGTCAAGTAATACTGGCAGCTTAGCTTATATTTCTCTAAGAGGAGATGAAGAATTAAAGAATGGGAGGTCCTCTGCTTCTCTTACTCTGTTTCTTCTTATTTCGTGCTTCTTTGAACTTTGTTTTCTCTGCAGAGTCCTGCCCCTACCAGAACAACCTAAACCTTTCCCAAGGCAATGCTTGCAGCTCAAACTAAAGTATCAGCTTCTAAAAAAATAGCCATGCCTCATAGCGAATCTTCAGCACGTTTTTTCTGATATCCTAAGAAACACAAATGCTATCAATAAAAATAATATCCAGCTCCAAATGGGACAGCAAAGCATAAAAAGGCAGCCAAAAGCAAAGGAACTGGAAAGAACTGTTTAAAGCTCCTGCAGCTTCCCTAATATAATTACAGTTCTTTTGGGGGGTAGTCAGAAAATATGAAATATAGAGTCCAAAGTAACCTTATCCATCCTAGCTCAAACTTATTCTTAGCACACTCAATGCTTAGCACATTCTTCCTGGCCTTATTTGGATTAGGGAGGGTCCTGTGAAGTCTGGCAGTCACTAATAGTGAGGGTAAATTTAGGTGATTTTCTCCACTTTGACTCTCAATCCCAGTTCCTGAGAAACAGCTCAGATCACATCACCCATGAATATCTGTACTTTCTCTTCTCTTTGGCAAGGAGATTTCACACACGTGAGGATATCATAAATGTAGTTTATGCAAGCTAGTAAGTAAAATTCTTGGCTGTATCCAGTATCCTTTAACATGTTAAACACACTGTCCACAGTTATTAAGCAGATCACATTTTTTCAGGCCTAATTCAAAGACAAACACACTTGTAAATTTAAGTAAACATTTATTTAAAATTCAGTGCCATTAGATTTTAATAAAAATATGAATATGAAAAACCTAGCAAATCACTATTCACTACAGTGCCTGTATCCTCAAACTGCAGGGTTGTGTGTTCTTGTACCTGGAAACTTAAAATGAAATGAACTACAATCTATCCTTGAACCAGCATTCCTTCACATGGGAGTCACTTGAAATCAGAAACTGACTCTAGCAGGACTGTAACTGGGGAACCTATAGTCAGCGAATAACTACAAAGGCTGGCATTTGCACTTCTGAGCTCTACTACATGATTAGTATGCACCTGGCTGTGTGCTAGGGTGTAACAAAATAAATCTGTTTATATGGTGGGCAACACATGGAAGGGGAGTCTCGCTGAACCGGCTGTCCACAAGCTTTATCTTTATCCTGGAGTGTGGGTTGTGGTTGTTTGATGATCCTTTTTGTAGGTGTCAGTGTGGGATGACTTGAAAAAAGTTACTTTGTGCCCAAAAGCTTGTCCAACAACTCTCCCAACCCTATGGTTGATCTAATAAAAGATATCACAAAACAAAACACAAAAAATAAAACCCCTTGCCTCAAAGTCTCTAATAACCTCATCAAAGAAAAAGCTCCATTCTTGTCCTCCCCAACCTGTTAGATACTATTATTAGTTTCAATCCATATTTTTCTTTTTTAATATTTGTCCTTTCTTGGTTTTCCTGACAGGTGTTGAGAGCAAATTACTCCTTTAGTAGAGTGACAAAAGCAAGTTCTTACAGTGAAGTTTAAGCAAGACTAGAAACAACACAAAGCAACAATGCAAGATCTAGTAAAATTTTAAGTTTAGCAGGAAGCTCTACACATTTTTTTATTATTTATTTATAATGGTCAGTATTTCAAGAGTGAGATTCAACCTTATCTTAGGGGGAAAGCTTAAGGGCATAACTCTTAAGCTCGTAAAGTAAAGGCTAGTCCTCTGCAGAGCGATGAATCTTTTACAATATTGGCACTTCATAACTTCAGGAAAAATATATCTATTGGATTTTTCCATTTTTAAACAAGGAAAAATTATAGCTTCCCTATGGGTCTCCCATATGTTATCTCTATCTTTCTGATTTCACACTTTTGCCCTGTTTTCCCTCCCTCCAAGGAAGGAAAGCATGAGTAAAAGCTCTCCTAATTTTTTTTCAGACCACTGGGTGGTCTATTCACACATGAATAAATCATGGGGCAATCATGAGTCTTGAATAAACATCTGTCCAGTTCTAAGATTAAACTGTATTACAGAGCTACAGTCTAGTCTCCATATCCATGGCAGTCTAAATTTTGGCCAGCTTGTGTGAATTGGAAAGGCAACAAAGTCAAAGCTTTGCCTACTCTCTATCCATTTGAATGGACAAAGAGGTAGCAGTCTGACAAAGGAACATAAAGTGAAATTCAAATAAAGGAGGCCAGTGGCACTTTACAGCCCTTTAACCCCTTCATGACCATATACTACAAACCATAATATAGCCCAAAACAGAAGTCCTGAACAGTGATCGTAACAAAGCAAGCTAGTACTTTTATTTATTTACATATAAACAAAGGGGAAAAAACAGGGTTTTGTTGGGGTTTTTTTTACTATTTGACAAGCTCTACTACTAACTCCTTCTTTTAGGGTGCAGACAGACATTACGGCCCCACTCTAACTCATGGCATTTAAGTAAAGCACCATGACTTACAACACCTCCCTCCTGAACCCAACAGACATTTGCCTGTTGGATCGAGGGGAGGGGGCAGGGAGCTCCCAGTTAATGAATGGCCAGATATCGAGGAAGGGGCAGAGAACAGGGTCCCTCTCTCCTTGTAGACATCCCCCAGCTAACCTAGCTGGGGTATTGGGGGAAGCCAGATCAGGACCCTGAAGCAAGGGGGCTCTGTTTCCCTCCCCATCCCCAACTCAGCTCTGGCCATTTAGTGGCCTAGAACTCCATATTGGCTGCTCCTGGCTGTTGAATGGTCAGAATTAGAGGGGGAGGGGGAAATGGAGCCCCCTAACCTTGCAGGTCCAACTCAGTTGCCCCCAGCACCCCAGCCAGGGTATCTGGTGAGCAGCCCCATTCCCCACCCCTTCTCCCCCCAGATCTGGCCATTCAGCAGCCAGGAGTTCCCTCTCCTTACCCCTAACAGCCTGGAGGAGGAAAAATTAACAGCCTCCCCCTATGTGAAAAATTAACCCTGGATGGAATACAAGTTCCCTAAGGCACTTTGCTTTTGTGTGCCTTAATGTAATACCTGATTTAACTAGGGTTAATTCTTCATGTGTATGGCAATTTTAAAATCACTTTGCAACTGTGCGTGTGTTATGGCATGGCTGTAGAGTGATTTCAGGGCCCAGATCACTCAAAAAATATTACTTCTGCCTGTTCCCTTAGATGATAAGGTGTGTTGCTCATGTAATCAAAGTATTAGTACACAACTCTTTATTAATGGATTACCAGGTTGTCAAGATAATGGTGAAAACAGAAGGACTAGAGAAAGAAAACAATTCAAGTTAAATTAGTAGGTAGTGGTACTGGAGACTCAGACTGATGAAAAGAAACATTTGGGAAGCTAATCAAAAACAAGTTTTTGTTAACAAGAAAACACAGAATAATAATTTTAAACATTCTCCTAAAGGTATATAGGTGAATACTTACAGCACAGCCCCGAAGATGGATCCAAGAATAAGAAAAGTGTTTTGTATTGCAGTAAATGCACAGAAAGACAGTGGAGGTCAAGAAAATAAACCTTACTATCATCTTAAGCTCTGGAGCATTACACTATGAGAAAACTTATTAAACAGCTAACTAATTCTATGGATCTTCAGATGTACCATTATTTGGCTGAAGGATACCATGGCCAGAGGACATCACAATGCCAGAGCCACTGGCAGTACCTCTGCTAACATCTCTGAGGTTTCTGTCAGGCAGGACTGCTCACTATTGGGATTTCCACTCAGGTCCAGATTTGGTACTGTGGTGTCACCAGTAGGGTTTTGGCTTCTTCAACCATGGGATATTATTCCAAAAAGAAGGCTTGCTGGGAAGAGATGGGATCCACTTGGCAAAGAGAGGAAAGAACATCTTCACAGACAGCCTTGCTAACCTAGTAAGGATGGCTTTAAACTAGGTTCACTGGGGAATGGAGACCAAAGCCCTGAGGTAATTGGGGAAGTGGGTGACCTGGAGGAAGAGCAAGCAGGAAGGGGCAACAGGGAAGCTATTCTCATACTTCCTGAGAATTCAGGGCAATTGACTAGTTACCTCAGAGGCCTGTACATGAATGCACATAGCCTGGGAAACAAGCAGGAAGAATTGGAAGTCCTTGCACAGTCACAGCACTGACATGATTGTAATAACAGAGACTTGGTGGGATAGCTCGCATGACTGGAGCAGTGACAAGGATGGATATAAACTGTTCAGAAAGCACAAGCGGGAGAGAAGGGGAGGAGGAGTGCACTTTATGTAAAAGAGCCATATGATTTCTCAGAACTCCAGTATGAAACTGAGGTAGGACTGTTGAAAGCATCGGTGAAGCCTAGGGGGTGCACGCAGGTGGACATGCATCCCCTGAGCATGGCAGTGCACCCCCTATGAAAAGGTGCCACTGACACTGTTGGCGGTGACTTTGGGCAGTCACCACTCACCACCCCCCCACCACCATCGACACCACTGGCAGTGTCTGCAGGTGGTCAGTGATACCCACTGGCTGACGATGCTGGTGGTGTCTGCAGGTGGTTGCTGCCCCCCGGTTGGCGTTTGCCACCCCCCACCACCGACAGCACCGGCAGTATCTGCAGGAGCTCCATGCTTACTGCCACCCTGCCCCCCCAGCTGCTGGGTGCACACATCGTTGATGGTTGAAAGTCTCTGCATTAGGGTCATAGGAGAGAGAAAGAAGGATGATGACATGGTGGGGATCTGCTATAGACCACCAGCTGAGTTGAAAGTGGTAGATAAGGCTTTCTTCAAACTGCTAGTAGAAGTTTCCTTATCATAGGTCTTGGTTTTCATGGGGGACTTCAATCACCCTGACATCTGCTGGGAGAGCAAAACAGCAGTGTGCAAGCAATCCAGGAAGTTTTTGGAGAGTTTTGGGGATAACTTCCTGGTACAAGTGCTGGAGCAGCCAACTAGGGGCCGTGCTCTTCTTGACCTGCTGCCCACAAACAGGGATGAATTGGTGAGAATTGTACTAGTAGATGGCAACTTGGGCAGAAGTGACCACAAGATGATTGAGTTCAGGATCCTGAGGAAAGGAAGTATGGAGAACATCAGAGTAAGGACCCTGGACTTCAGAAAAGCAGACTTCTACTTGCTCAGGGAACTCATGGGCAGCATACTGGGCTGTATTGGTAGGAGAGTTGAAAGCAGATTGAGGGAAGTGATTATTCCCCTCTATTCAGCACTTGTGAGGCCACATCTGGAGTATTTTGTTCAGTTTTGGGGCCCCTACTACAGAAAGGATGTGGACAAATTGGAGACAGTCCAATGGAGGGCAACAAAAATGGTGAGGGGGCTGGGGTACATGACTTCTGAGGAAAGGCT